ATAAAGTCTTGTGACATTTCTTCCAGAGAGAGCAACAACAGCTTAAAAGTCAGGCTGCTAGCAGAAAGGCAACCACCCCACCGCCACCCCCTAAGGGAACGTCCCAGGACAAGGCGCAGATGGAACATCTAAAGCGAGTGTGCCAAGAACGGGATCTGCGAATACAGCAGTTGGAGAAAGAACTGGGTCACGCCAGGCTTGAACTTAAAAACACTACAGAAAAATACAAAGAATTATCTGAGCGCGAGACTAAATCTGTGGCTTACTGCACTGAAGATTTAACAACGAACGAGGAAAGAGTAGAACAGAATGGACCTAGTTACGGTTGTGCTGGTGTTAATACTCAAGGTGCAAGAACTGTGCCAGGTTACGGTTTTGTTAATAGTTCTGTAGAAGGTCCATTGCTGAAGGGACCTTACCCACAGGGTGCTGAGGACTTAGGGGCTTAAGACAACGGTTTCATACCGTCAAGGAAATATGTGCCCCCTGAGGGATCAAGTAGAAACCAAATTGGATCCGTGCCAGGTAGTCCGGCCAGGCGGCATGTGATGTCCACGGGAAGTGTGCAAGGTACATCGGGGAAGGGATCTGCACAGGGATACCAGCTCACTCCTACAGCACCCAGTGGCGGACGTGGAAGCAGAGGTCGCAGGAATAGTGCAGGAGGCAGGTACGTATGAATGTTATTCCTCGTGGTGGAGAATTTGGGAAAGAAAATCGAGGTTGTACATAGTAAACTTTACGGACTAATCCTTCCTTCCTTTTCCCACTTTCTTGCTCCCGTTTGACGCCTGCCACTCTGGCTAAACAAGAGAAGACTTGCCTGCGTTGCAGCCCGACCTTTCACTAGTCCGAGACCTAGATAGAGAAACCGATGAAGTATATATTGGCCGCATTGCGAACAGAAGTCGATATAAATTTGGAGGTAAACTGGCTTTGTCTATGCGATCTGGTACATTTTTATGACGAAAGCAAAACAAGATAAGATGAAATGTATGTTTTAACTTTACTCTTTTAATTTTTAATCTAAACCATAGAGAAGTCTGGTGACCAAAGTGGCGACTAAACCAGAATTTTTAGTCGCCAAGGAGAAAATGTTAGTGGCATTGGCGACCGTATCAGTCGCAATTTCGTGTCCCCAATGGGGATTCAGACTGTCTACGACGCAGGCTACAAAAGGGAGAAGTGTTCAGAAAAAGCTTGGTTCTTTTGAGTACTTATACTAAATAACACAAAGTATTTATTTTAAGCCAATGACCAGCACGCCCACCCTCCGAACCTTTGTCGTTTGTATAGGTTAACTATCTAAACGTGACACGAACGAAATCACGTAGTCATCTAGGTACGGAACTCGCGCCGGTACCAAGCGCGAGTTTTCGCCTTAAAGCACGCCCTCGCAAACGTTTGTATGATGGGGAGAACGAATTTGCCCCCCTCCACCATCCCGTGTCCTTTACAAAGGGCTCTGTATTGTGGAAATTTTGCGAATTTGCTGAACCATAACTTCTTTCAAGTTAGTTTGACATTCCATTATTTCTATATATCACTATCAATCTTGGCAACTTTACTGATTGTAAGAGGCTCTCTTCGCTGAAAAAAAAAATACAAAAAAAAAAACAGATTAATGGAAGACCTCTGCTAAAACAGACGTAATCAGGCTATCAAGATACACGGCTTTAGTGTAAAACCATGGACTGGTTTTTTGTTGTTTTCGTTTGTTTACAGCGACGAAGTTCAGTTGTTAAGATCCCAAGTACAGGAGAACAAGTCTCTATGCTAAGCAGCTGAAGTTGAGAGAGATCGACTGTTAGAACTAGTGTCGCTTCTACAGAAAAGGTAAGGTCTCCATGGTAAATTATCTGGTGCGCTGGTGTTTGGAGCCAATAATAATATTAACAGGCTGTCTTTTGGGGAAATGGGCGAGACAGCTACGCTTTAATGGTCAGTTTAGGTTCTGCTTGAGACTGCATGGGTGTTGTATCGAATTTCGCAATGGGACTGTTTTGGGACGCAATCGCTTCTTTCGTTGGTTTTTGCGAAGTTGGATAGGAAAACTGAGGCCAAATACCTCCCCTAAATCAGTTCCATGGTGCAATTCGATAGAACACCGACATAGTCTCAAGCGCAGTCTCAGAATAAAATCCTGCCGCCGCCATATTGGAAAACCAGAGGACTTTGAGGAAGAGGTTGACCCAGTCAACCAAGCTGAACTTGAAAGAATTAGTCACTCACCATTCCAGATACTATAAGAGAAATGGGTACAAGCTTTCGGCTCAACAGTTAACAAACGTTGGTTATGATTGGTTAATGGTTGCCTTCAATACCATCTACCAATCATAACTAACGCTTGTCCACCTAAATTATCCCAGAAATCGTTACGCCTAAAGCTTGTACCCATTCCTCTTACAGTTTGTGAAGTGGGGAACTCATCAGGTTTTGATCAGTTATCACCTTTCGTCTGCAAAGAGGAAAAAAAAGCGGCAGGAGGACTTTAGATTCGAGGACGACGTTTTCTCGATACTTAGTACTGCTCTCACGCGTCAACCATCTTTATTTTGGCTGGAAAACGTGATAGTCGTGGTCAGAGAGGGCTTAACTTTTTCGATAAAAAAAAAAGTTACATGAAGCTTTCTGGGGTGTCTTTTTTTAAGAACACGTACAAAACCTTTGAGTTAAATCTCGTACTCGTTTTCGTCCTCAAATCTAAAGAATGGGAGGTCGTGGGCTCGATCCACGGAAGCGGGCCCATTTTCACGGTCTTAAAATGACTAGGGAAGAAGATTCCACGTAAGAAGGAAGAAGATTACCCACGTAAGATTTCGCCGTCTAAGGTGTTTTCCGTACGATGTTATTCCGTAGAGTTGATGAGGCTAAAAACATGGAGTTGGAAGCAAGCAACAAGTGGCAGCAAGAAAGACGTCAAGTGGCTCACTTGGAGAAACAGCTGAGTAGAGTGCAATCAGGACAGGGCGTGGTCAAGGGGAAGGGGAAGGGGTACGGAACAGGAGGTACAGTACAAGACCGACAAGCAAAGATGGAAGACTTGGAAGAGCTGTCAACCAGGTAAACAGAAGTGAAACCTGTAATNTAAGGTGTTTTCCGTACGATGTTATTCCGTAGAGTTGATGAGGCTAAAAACATGGAGTTGGAAGCAAGCAACAAGTGGCAGCAAGAAAGACGTCAAGTGGCTCACTTGGAGAAACAGCTGAGTAGAGTGCAATCAGGACAGGGCGTGGTCAAGGGGAAGGGGAAGGGGTACGGAACAGGAGGTACAGTACAAGACCGACAAGCAAAGATGGAAGACTTGGAAGAGCTGTCAACCAGGTAAACAGAAGTGAAACCTGTAATAACTTCTATTCAAGATTGTAAGTCTGGTTTTTTTGGTCACGCGAGCTTTTTAAAGCAAGAATTGGGTACATTGAAGTGGCACCAACACGAGAGAAAAACTCGACACCGTCGGCACTTTTTCCATTTCTATCACCTAGTCGTCCGTCTCTTTGCGCCAGGAAATATGCCATTACTAAATTCTGTTCTTTTTTGTCACAAGTTATCTTTGGTTTTTAAAGGCAGTGTTACGAGAAACAGATTTCAGTGTCTCCTTTAGTGAGGGATAGTTCTTCGTTTTCACCGAAATATCTTTATCATTGACTACGTAGCAAGGGGGGGCCTAACCATAACGTTTTTCCCCTCCCCTTTATCCCTCTTTATTTGCTCTCGTCCTAACTTTCTCAACGAACCCGCTCGGAAACGCTTGCTACTCAGGGTATCGTTATCAGAGACTTTTATACCAATAAGAAAAGTATCCTAATAAAATTTAGATCTGTTAAATGCAGATCTGTCCTTCTCAAATCATCGATAGAACTGTACCCTATCCGTATGTGTGTATTCTGCCCACAGGCAGGTCCTTCCCTATAGTTCTCGATCTAAGGCGCGCCTCTTGACCGCTACTCAAGGACTACCATCCTTTACTCTATCCAGCATTCCCACACGAGGTCTTCCAGGTGGTCTCTTTCCTATTATTCTTCCCTCAATTACTAATGGGACAAGATCGCCATGCCGCAGGGTATGACCAAGCCAGACTCTCTGTCTTCTGTTGATAACAGATATGATGGCCCTCTCCTCACCAACACGCCTCAATACTTCTTCGTTACAGACTTTGTCAGACCAAGTCGTGTTTAAGACCTTTCTTCAAACCCACATCACACAGCTCTCCAGCCTTCGCACATCAAATATAAAATGCAATCTCAGAGACCAACCTCTTTTCATTTTCCTCATGAATAAATAATACGTTTTCTAATATCTTCGCCAGACTCGCCATTCAAACAGACGAAAACGACGCACTAAAGGAAGCTCTCAACTCCACTTTGAAAGCGAAAGAAGAGGACTTGAAATTTTACCAGGAGATGATGGATCAAACTAAAAAGATTTTTCTTCAAGGCCTGAGACAGTTTAGACAGAACTCAGCACCCAGCTAGGTGGCGGATAATTGTGAATAGCGCGCCACATAATCAATATTTATTATTTATAATAAACCATTATTATTTGAACAGTGGTATTGTATTGTATTGTCTTCTATAGTGATCACTCTAATTTTTGACACCCTTAAATTAAACACGGTTGTGAACGGTAATTTTGTCAAGAAGGTGTAAGTCAGATTTAAGTCAGAATAGAAAGGATGTAATATCCTTGTTAGGTAATTGCTACCTCTCAGAATCATCCTCCACACACACAAAAAAAGAAATCTTCGTAAAAACCGGCTGTATAATTTGTCTTGATAATTCGGGTCTCTAAAAACACGGCACCTAAAACAAGTTCGGTTACTCTCATGTATATTGAACAAATTGCAAATGTCATTGAAATATAAGGCGTTTGTTTTTATGTATTTTTCTTAGATACAGATAAAAGGAAATGCAATGAAGCGAAGATGCGTCTATATTAATCAATGCGGCCTCCCGTTCTGCTTGATTTGCATAATTACGTCAATCCGTCTGGTTTTTCGGAAAGCCATTGTCGTGGAACTGCAAAAGAGTTGCTGGAAATTTTTAACGTTTCTTGGAAGCCGTCGAGTGTTTTTTTTGTGTTTTTAGTCAAGTCTTGGGTTTACTTCTTTCGTTAGGTAAGAAGGGAAGTAACTGATTCGATTGAAGATAAAGGTCACAATAATTTAATTATATCTGCTGGTGTATTGTGAACAAGGTCTAAGCGTTTTTGTTTTACTTCTTAAAATTTGTTATTCATCAGGGGCACCCAACGAGAATATTGTTCAAAACCACTTACACATAGCATTGTTAAGCGTATTTTAGTATTTAAATAGTAGACATAGGCATATTTTTATCCCCTAAAAATTTTTCATCTGTTCGGATTTCCTAGCTGAAAGTCTAGTGATCATAAATAGGGATCAAAAGTTACCTTTTCGATCATTTCAGCCAGAAAAAAGACTCCCGAAAGTTCTAGGTGACCTTTTTAGGGTAAAAATCCGTTAAAAAATGGGCAATTATACCCTTTTTTAGATGTTCGAACATCCTAGGAGAGGCAGGCAAGCAAGAAGTTTTACAACAAATGTTCCGAAAATTCTAGATCTCAAATCGTCTTCCGAACAGATATTTTCCGAAAATTGTCGTTGGGTGCCCCTGATTCATTGATTAACAATCTGTGATAGCTTTAGCTGCCAATAGCAAACGCTAATTCGCGAGGGTAGAGCTCGACCTTTGATATCCAAATTTTGTTAATCGTAATGAAAACTGAGATGGCAAAATAAATAAATAAGATTTTGAAAAAGCGGGAGGAGAAGAAACTAGAACTTTCGAACGCTCAAGTTGTAGCTAAAAGGATGATGGGAATTGTGGGTTTTCCAAGAAATCATCTTTGGTCATGTGACATCGCGTGATTCTTGAGTTTCTCGGAAAATGTTCTTTAACATTATGGACTCATTCTTGAAGAACTTTGCGAGTTTTACACTGATATAACCAGGGAAAGTATTGTTCTTAGTAAAAGACCGCAAAGGTAAGGTTACATTGTCATTGGGACGCTTAAAAAAGGAGTAAAATTTATGATAACTTGTAACATTTTCAGTGATTCGTTTCCTGAGAACTTGAGCGGGACCGGACTCACAGCCGGCGTGGTTTCAAGTGGTTTGCAGTTTGCCGAACAATTCATGCAGATGTAGTCTCGGTCTTCATCAACATCTTATCCCAAGTTATTTCATGTAGGTACGAAAAATGAACTTCTTGACTAAGCGCTTTTTAAAATAGCAAAATACCTCCTCGCTTGCAACTAACTTCCGTGTCGACGACGCCGTGCAAGAAATGGCCTTCAGAAAGACTGAAGTTGGTTATTATTGTTTTTTATTTTTATTTTATTTTGTACGTGAATCTAATTCCTTCGGGAGCATCGTATTAAAATTCAGTGACGGCGCTATTCTTTTGGTATCGTTTGGAACTAGTGTCGCACGCTGGAATTCGGTTTTGCTGATAAGTTTTGAAACACAACATGGCTAACAATGAACCATGCTGGCTCTTGAATGCTGATTCCAACATTGTTTCCACATGAAAATGTTGGCAGTATGATACGTTTTCAACTTTCTCTCTACTCTGGCAAAAACGTTGTTTAATACGAAACACTAATAAATATTAACACCACCGGTCAAGTGTCGAGTAGGCGTCCAACTAACAATTCCTGCCCACATTATGTTCAAAACTAAGTTAGAGCCGGTATGAGCTAAAACACCTAGTTGTAGCGATTTACAGTACATTTCGATTTTTTGTCGAGCCTAGCGATCAACCCTTCATGGCTATCATTTATGTGTTATTCTTTGTTCGTGAAAAACAATAACGCTATATTTTTTCAACTGTCTTTCAGACCAATTATGGAGCGATTTTACTCAGTTGAAGGTTGATTTCGTCTCGCATAATGAGTAAGTAGTACAGTGATTATTGTTCAGTATCTGTCCATAAAGTCTTATACATGCCTTAGATCGAAACCCACCAACGCTAGCCATGAGCATATATAGTTCGTGAAACACCAATCACCAACAACCACGGTGGTAGTCCTACTCAGTAACCCGATACTATCGAAATCGTCGCGATCAATATCTAAGGGGCAGTCATGAGACAAACAATAAATGAAATCCATTGCACACATTAACCCCGATGAAGAATATCTTTTATGACAAGTTTTACACAGTTTGTAGATACTTGGTGAATCTTAACATATTGTGATGGATAAATCTTTCACTCTATCTTCTTAATTTTTGGTTGTCATCATTTTTTTGAATGATCTGTTTTATCTTTACTTTGCGTTTCTCTTTTTTGCTTTTGATCCTTTGTGTTCCGTTGCTTTGTTTTAATTTGCTTTCATGCCTTTGTTATGCATGTTTTCTTTTCCCTTTCTTCCATTTCATTTCCTTCCTTTCCCTTTATTTTCCTTCCTTTTCCTTTTCTTTTCTTTAATCATACATTCCCTTCCTTTTCTTTTGTTCCTTTTCTTTCCCTCCCCTCCCACTTCTCTTTCTCTCTTTTTCTTTTCTTTCTTTGCTTTTGCATACTTTCCTTTCCTTTGTTTCCATTTCCTTCCTTTCTTTTCCTTTGCAACACTTTCTTTCCTTTCCTCTCCTTCCATATCTTTCCATTTCCTTCCCTTTCCCTTCCTTCCATTTCCTATCCTTCCTATCCCTTTTATTTCATTTTCTTTACTTTTCTTTCTTCTCCTTCCCACCCATCCACTTTTATTGCTTTTAATATCCTACAATGTTACTCCTTGCTCATCTGACCCTAACCTATCCTATCATTTCCTTACCTAAGTATAGAAAACTATGAAACCAGCTGTATTCCAAAACCCTCTTATCCCAACCCCAACCCATAATTTTCCTGGGCCACTTCCATTCTACTCTATTCCATCTTACACTTTATTTGATATCCCATCCTACTCTATCCTATTCTAAATAAACACATTGAAATCTGCAAAGCTGACAGTTGTTTTGTCATTATTGTGGCTCATGAGAACGGCACAATGTTACAAATCCCCTTCAATATCCTACTTCTCCTATCTATTCCCATACTTTTGACCTCTTTAGCTTGTATGCTTTGTTTTTCCAACACAGTTCATATGATAATACTCTAGAGAAGTGTTTCTTTCAAATCTCTATGTCAGGCTTAAGAGGTCTATTCCATTTTAGTAAAATCCAACTAGTGGTCTATTAGCAATGCTGGGTTCTGATTAGTTGAGCTACTACTAGGCTATATGTTATAGCCCACTAGTAGCGAAAAGCGCGGGCTTTTTGGTGGCAAAGGAGGATTAAACTCTAGCTTTAACTAGTTAAACTTTTTTTGTTCTTGATATTTTTGACCAACTAGTTGGATTTTACTAAAACAATTACTCCTCTTGCCCTCATGGCCTCTGAGTCAATAGCCCATGTTTCGGCCTCCTGGGCTATTGACTCAGAGCCCATTCGGGCTCAAGGAATAATTGTTAAATATCCCCATCTTTATCATTCCTACCCATCACCCTTCCTATTTTCATTCCCTGCTTTTCTTTTTTATTCTTAACCCTTTTCATCCTCTCTCATCCCATCTGATCCTTGTCTGTCTGTCATACCAATGCACCCCATGCACCCCATCCAAAGCTACAACATCTCTCATTCCATCTTATGGTCATCATCATCATCATCATCATCATTATTGTTGTTGTCCCCCCCCCCCCTTATAATTGACCAATTTCTTTTTTAACCAAAGATTCAGCTCTGGAAAGCTATAAGTGAAATAAGCATTTTAGCGGAGCTCCACCCGCGCGCGCGTGGACTGAGCCCCATAGCTAAGGAAATGTGGTAATCTACCCATCCGAGAAAATTTGGTAATCACGTGACCGTACGACCGTCCGTCCGCACCACAAGGGAACCAATGTTTACTCTCACACTTTCTAGCTAGTTTGGGAGCCCAACAGAAAACTAATTGCACGTCAATGTTGTGATCAATTAACAGCTGTCAAAACAGGATATCCGCTGACCAGTATC